AACCTTCTTCTATTCTTTCACACTCTGAGGGAGGCAAATAGAAATGAATTGCCAGATGGTCAGCCCCCTCTAGGCTTTAAAATTATTAATTTTAATTAGTAATTGGAAAGTTGAAAATTGATAGTCTTAGAATATACATACACAAAACTACACATACAATTGCACATGCATGGGAAAATAAAAGACATTTCTGGATTGAGGATCCCTAACCATTAAGCTTCATGTTTTCCAACCCTTAGAAGAGTGACACTGTGGCAGCAACAATGGGCTTAAGAATAGGCAGTTGTGAGGATGGCGCAGGGTGGGCAGTGTTTTGTTCCATTGTGCACAGGGTCGCTCTGCTGACCTAAATGCCGACTCGATGGCATTTAACAACTAAGATCACACGTCATTGCTGTAATCCTGAGCAATTTATTTAATGCGGGTGGTGCTGATGCTGTTAGGTGATATCAAGTCAGTTGATTCCCAGCCACCCTATGTTCAACAGAATGAAGGACCAACCTGCACCTGTGTCATCGCACAGTTCTTATGTTAGAGCCCATTGTTGCATCCACTGTGTCAATCAGTCTCACCCAAGGATCTTCCTCTTGTGCATGTTCCCTCCACCTTACCAAGCATGATGTCCTCTTCCCGGGACAGGTCTCTCTTAAAAACAAGTCCCAAGCATGTGAAATGAAGTCTTGCCATCCTCACCTCTAAGCATCATTCTAGCTGTACTTCTTCCAAGACAGTGCGGTGATAAAAGCATTATAAACTTGAAAGGGTCTTTCATATTGGTTGTAAAGATAGCAAGGATAAAGGCAAATTTTCAACTACGGTATTTTCTTACCCTTACATACTAAGCTAAAAGGCAGAAAGAGTAAATGTCAGAAGGGGTGTTATCACACTCCCTGAGGCGAGGAGCACTCCTATATGCATACTGAGTTTCCAAGTTCTAGTTTCCAAATTCCTTTATCCTTAAGCTTTCTTTTCCAATACAGGCTCAGTTATTCTGATGACTGGAAGAGATCTGTATATGTACACATTTCTAAGAAAGATGACCCAACAGAATGCTCGATTCCAGGCGATCATGAATAACACGCGAAGAACAGTTTGCCGAAGGCCAGAGAACAGTTGCAGCAGTAATGGACGGGAGCTGTCAGAGTTTCAGCCGGATTCAGAAGATGACAAGAAATAGAACTGCTGATGTCAGATGGATTTTGGTTGAAAGTAGAGAGTACCAGAAAGGAGGTTGCCTGTGTTTTATTGACTATGCTCAGGCATTTGACGGTGGGGACCATAATAAACTATGGATAGCTTGGGAAGAATGAGAATCCCAGGACACTATGTTGTTCTCATGTGAAATCTGTACGTGGATCGAGAGGCAATTGTGCAAACAGAACAAGGGAATAATGTATGGCTTAAAATCAGAAAAAGTGCACCCCTCTCACTATTTTTCTCTAATCTGTATGCTGAGCAAATAAATCATCAGAGAAGCTGGATTATATGAAGAAGAATGAGGTATCAGGATTGGGGGAAAGCTTATTAACAACCTGTGATATGCAGATGACACAACCTTGTCCATTGAAAGTAAGGCGGAGTTGAAGCACGTGTCGATGAAGATCAAGGATTGCAGCCTTCAGTATGGATTCCAACTCAATGTAAAGAAAACCAAAATCCTCACAACTGGACCAATAGGTAACATCATGATCAATGGAGAAAAGCTTGAAGTTGTCAAGGATTTTGTCTTGCTCAGATCCACAACCTATGCTCACAGGAGCAGCAGACAGGAGACCATATGTGCATCACGTTGTGTAAATTTGCAGCACTCTCGCACCTCTCTATAGAGTACTGAAAAGCACGGATGTCACTTTGAGGACTAAGGTGCAACTTACTCCAGACATGTGTTTCCAATCTCTTCACATGCATGTGAAAGTTGGACATTGGATTAAAAAAACCCCAGGAGAATAATCAATGCACTTGAATTACTGTGCTGGGGAAGAATACTGAAAGTACCATGGGCTGCCAAAAGAACACATCTGTCTTAGAAGTCCATCCAAGATGGTCCCTAGAGGCAAAGATGGCAAGACCTGCTCTTATGTACTTTGGACACCTGGAGAAGGGCATCGTCCTTGCTAAAGTAGTGGGGCAGGGAAGCAGGAGACCTTTGAGAATATGATTGACACCGTGGCTAAGAACCACTGGGAGAACGTCACAGGACTGGGCAGTGGCTCCTTCCGTGTGCACAGGGAGGGAAGGAGCTGGAACCTACTCGATGGCCCCTGACCTCATTCTGATGCTGCTACATTAGCAAACTACTATTTTATAGATATAGAACTGACAGGCTGTGAAGGTTTAAAATTTTTGTCATACCTTACTTAAAAACTCTCATTACCAAATAAACTTCTATATGACACTGATGACCTGCTCAAAATCCTCCTGTCACTGGAGATCAGTATGTGACAGACCTTCATGGTTCAAGAATTAAGTATGTGTTTATTATGACTGCATGGGTTCTTCACGATGTGAACTGCGTGTAAAAATAAATGCATGGGGGGGGGGAGAAGGGGGAGGGGAGGGAAAAAAGGGGAGCTGATCTCAAGGGCTCAACAGAAAGTAAATGTCTAGAAAAGAACGATGGCAACATATGTACAACTATGTCAGATATAATTGATGTGTGGATTGTCATAAGAGTTCTAAGAGCCTCAATAAAGAGATCTTTTAATTAAAAAATTTTTTTAAAAAGTTAAAAGTCAAAGATGTCATTTTGAGGGCTTCATATGCACAACAAACTGGACAATGAATAAAGATGACCAAAGAAGAAAATAAATAAATAGAATAAAAGCACTTATTTTTATGCTTATTTGCTCACTAATGTGAAAATCCAATTTACACAGAAGATATGCCTTATATGCTTTGATACCATATGGAAACATTTTTATGGATGTTTGTGAATCAAAATTAAATCCTATATATTCCTAGAATGTTACCTACTTAACTTCACAATCCATTGTCATGTTTGCTTGTTAAAGATCTATTACATGCAAGAGTACTTGTTTTATAGTCACTTGATTATAATTTTCTACATAACATAGGTCACAACTATATTGAAAGCAAATCAGGAAACAAATCAAATATATTAAAATTTTATTTAAAAAAGAAATTATTAGCTAGTAGGAACTATACTGTCAGAATTTATTTTACACTAATGAATGGAGTCAGAATCATTATGTACATAAATTGTTTTAATAATGGTTGAAGAAAAAATTAACTTGGAGGCCTTCTTATTAATTCTACACAATTTGGTAAATTCATTTAAAAATCACTTCTATATATTGTGTTATTAAACAGTGGCTGCATCCTACCAAATAATGTAACCCACGTTTAATGTTGTCTCTAAATTAAGTTTATTTTAGAGGGGGGTGGGTGGAGATACAACACTTTGAAGTTTGCTTTACCTAGATGCCCACTTCTAATTACATTATAACATCGATAGCCTGGGTGGGTAAAAATGATTTCAAGAGCAATTTAACTCAACTCCTCAGTGGGGAAAAAATAAGAAATTCTCAGACTAGGAAAACAAAGATGTAAAATATATGAACTTAATCAGAAAGCAGCAAAGAATTAAAGGTGTCTAACCTAGTTTGAACGAGCTCTGATCTTCGATATTTTGTTACATTGGATCTGTATTGAAAAAGATGGAAGCTGATTATAAATATGCAGTACTCAAAAAAGGATCTTTTAGTCCAAAACTACTTTAAAGCTAGAAATGTGAAAAATGTATTAAATTTGGAGAAATTACATATAAAAAATTATACCATAGCTTACCAAGTATGAATTTAGTCTCCTTCCAAGACACTTAAGCTGTAAGATTCTGGGTAAGACTTGGTTAAAAAAAAGAAATAGGAGATGAAGGTAATAATAAAGTTAGCTATCAGTATGATAGGATATTTTTATATTTCAGAACATTATGAAATAAAAAGGGTAAATAATAATGTAAAATTTAAAAAAGTAAAACGTGCTTGAGAAAAACACAAATGGCTCTTTAAGACTCTATAACTCTACAAGAGGATAAAGCAAGATAATAACAAAGGCTACGATCATTCATAGATTGTGCTGTGATGCAATTACTCTAGAATGCGTTCAACTGTCCTGATGCTTTTATAGACTGAGTAATTTTTAGAAATGATTACATTTCCGTAATCATCCTGAGATTCCAAAGCAAAAATCATACTTTGATCTTCCTGACGAAAGGATTCAAATACTATGATTCAAATATTAGTTTTGTTTGTTAGAATTAAATGATTGATCTTTTAACTCGAGTGCTTCCTAACAAATAGGCTCTTCCTTCCAATACTTACTCTAATGATATGCTAGCAGGATCCTTGGGGATCTGGAGGATGAGAGAGCCAATATCTACTGAGGTACACCCTCTTCCCAGAGATGCAGTGTTCCTTTCTTCTAAATAGTTTCAGTTTAAAATTCTTCACATTCAAGATGTTCTTTTATGGTTTGAAGTAAATACCCCTGAATATGTCACTTGAAAAGTCATTGCTACTAACTCTAATCAATGTGCCAGACTTTAAATTTAATATCGATATATCAGTACAATCAAGCATGTCTTAAGTTTTAAAAAATCAATATGGTATCACAAACCAAATGTCAACAAACCACAAAATAACATTTATCATCAAATGAAGTTTGTTGTAGAATTCTAAAAGGTAAAATGTTTTTCTAATCATTTAATAAGGCTATATATGTAAATTAATACACAGACTTTAGCTGTAGTGAACTACCCAATAGAATCAGTCGCCCCTGAGAACTCGCCATCTCACGGTGACTCCAGGTACGTCAGAGAACCGTCCTCCACAGGGTTTTCCCGGCCTTCCTGTCTTTTAAGGGATTCAGAGTGGATGTGAACCTCCCATCGTTAGTGAGCAGGCCAAGAGAGTGTTATTTGTATCATCTGGGGATTCCAAAGCCCAACTATTAAAGAACAAAACAGAAAATCCTAGTGGGAATTGTTCATAGGCTTGTCATTTTAATTCAAATTTATGAAAACAGAAGGATGCTTCTATCCCAATAGGGCTAAACAAATTCAGCTCTTGTGTTCAACATTCAAATGTCAATTTCCTTTTAAATATGGATATTAAAAAAATTAAAAGTATGCCAATTTTGTTATATTGATAAGTGGACTATGAAAATTCACTTTAAATATAAACAATCTTCTTAAAACCACTATTATTTCTGTCGAGTAAATCAAACTAAAATTCATAAGAAATTTTATTTCTCTTTTAGTTTTTAATAAGTCTTATTACACCTTTAGAGCTGAGATTGTTATTTCAACAGAAATTCTATATGTGTGGTTCCTGTAAACTGCTAAAGAATTAAAGTACCTAATATTTTCTTTTGTTGCACTATTTAACAAACTTGGTTTTTAATATCACAACTAACAATTGGATATTAAGAGTTGGTTTTTGAAACGAAAATATTTTATACTTCTCCAGAGTCAAAGTATATTTATCTGTACGTACCGACCAATGTTTCTCATTTGTGTATTATAGAAGAGTGTTTTGCTATGCGCCTTTTAAAATAATTTCTAAAATAACAGCCTTTTCCCCCTTTTTTCTCCCCACCCCCTCCATTTTCTTTTTGAGAAAAAATAATGTCTAGCAATGTGAATACCACTGCAGATTAAAATTAAACAAACCATTAATACTCTAATCCAAAACTGTATTAAGGATAACATATTCTTTTGTTAACATATTCAGTACATTCCTATATGAGGTTCAGGAGCTTTTGAAAATATCCTTGATGATACAGGTTCCCAAATGTAATTGGCCTATCACCCTTTTCAGGAAAAAGATCAAGGACTCAGCACCCCTGGCGACTCACAGCTTTGCCCTGTAACCCACAGTTCAGCATAAAATGTAGGTAACACCTGCTTCTGCAGCCCTCCTTATTGCCTACTTTGGGAAACACTGCTTTAATACATGGATCGCAATGTATGTATATTGGTTTTGGATGTATTTAACTTATTAAACAAAGTGTTTCAAATTTCAAGAATTGGAACGGTATACAGCTGAATAAAGTTAAACACTATACAAAATGACTTGAGAGAGCAGGAGTGGAAGGGGCCAGGTTATATTAGTCACTTCAGATTTAGAAAGGGCTATTGCCTAATTTATCCCCAAGCAGCTTTTGAGGCTAGTTCTAAACAGTCAATACAGATTTTCTTGTTAATTTAAGATAAAGCTATAAATTCCCTACATGTTCATTGTATGTTAATATATGCTTTTTCATAAAGCCATGCTTGTCTTATAATGAATCTATACACCCAACATACAAATGAAAGGTAACTGGCATATGCTTTAAAAGAAAAAAAAAATCTCACCAGGACATAACTATTTCATTGTAAGAGTACTAATAGAAGAACAGTTTAAAGACTAGAAGACATTAAAAAATATTATTTTTTAATGCATAAAAGGGACATTTCTCCCCCAAAGGATGAATACCAATCCCTGCAAAAACATTATTCCAGACTCTCTTTTCAGTGCAGACTACATTGTAGACACAAAATCTCTCTTAGAGAACTAGTTGTTAGAAATAATGACCATCCCTAACGATATAATACTCTCAATGTTTACTAAAGAAAAGTCAATATTAATCTCTCTTAATATAAGGATTTAGCTTTGGAAAACATAAACCTGTCAATTTTTAACCAAGGTCAATCTAGATGACTGACATTAAGCATACAAGTGCCTACACACTTGTCTAGGTTTCTCTCTTGTAGCTTGAAACCCTGTATCAAGTCTGTTTCAATATTTAAGTAGTTTCGAGTCTCAGTACAGAGCTGAACCATGGGACAAGTGTGGTGAAGCACGGATTCAGTCCTTAATTATACAGTCCCTCTCCCCTATAATTCAGATAAGAAGCACCAAAACTGGAGCCAAGTTTTCAACAGTTAATATAACAGAAGGAACTATAATTTAATCACATCATATTATATGACACTAAATAACATTCTCTTTTGCCTGTTGATATATAACATAGTTAAGTTTATTACAAGCATTATTTCTTAAGATTTATTGTATAAGTGTTCCTTTTTCAAGTATGATCACTTATTTATAGTGTTTATATCTTAACATTAAATAAATCAGTGATAAATGCAATACACTGTGCCATTTCTCCCTAAACGTGTTACTAATTAACAAAACCAACTAAGGAAACCCAAACAACCACGAAGTCAAAACAAGGCTATCAACATCACAGACGGAGTAGGTCAACAGCATTGTCCCTTTAACATGAAGGTAATTATTACAAAAAATGCTTCTATATGTTTGGGTTAGCATTAATTTAGCAGCAGCTGGTATTCTGGACAAGTAGATCAAAAGAGAAGATTTAGGTGGGAAAACAATCAACCAACCAACCAACAACCAACCCAAAGACTGTCAAACCATGTCACTAATAAAAGAAGCACCCTGCTGGTGTCACCTTACATAAAACTGTGTTTCCCTTTCAACAGGTGTTTGAATTCATTTGTATGATGACAATACAGCTTTGGAGTTCTCATGATACATCAATGAGATGGACTAACTTGTCGGCGAACCTCTTATTTAATATTTAAATTATAACAATACAGTAACTAGAAAAAGGTCAGTGCCTCAGTGGCTTTAAACCACACACAATTCACACACCCCACCCAATAATAATGGAAGTAAAATCTATGCTCTGCAACACTAGTGCAATGCAGTATTCTTTCCTATATAAGGAGCTGAGGGTTATCCAAGTAGAAGCTTTAAATAAGGTAGATTGTTGCCAACTACAGAGGTGCATTCAAAATAAAACACTTTTCAAAACTACTACAAAAAACCAGTGACAAACAGTGGTTACGAACAACTGCGCATCTGTTGTGTGTATCAGATGTAAGAGAATGGACCCTGCGGATTCTTGCACGGTTTGCATTCCATGAAGGAAAGTCAGACTTAGTCCACTTCCATCTCTCCGGAAGCTTTAGTATGCTGGGAGCTCTCTTTTGTTAGGTCTGGTTTCGTTTCCGTCCCACTCGGTGCATCCATTGGTCCATTGTGTTCACTATTAGCTTTTGCTTTGTCTTCAGCAGCCTCTACTTTTGGTTTGGGTTTGTAAATGATTGGGTTACAGAAATTATCCAGTTCCTAAAGACAGAAAGAAAATTATTAAAAGCGTTATAGAACAAGTCACTATTCATGTTCTAAATGTCCACAGAATTCCACATACCCGAATTTCTTTCAGCTCAG